ACCTCGCATCCCTACAAAGCCGGGACGGAGCACGCCGGGTTCTCACCGGACCAGGATCAATAGGGGAGGAAAAATTACAGACCAAAAGACACTAACAACAGGGTGGGGCGCAGAGGGTGGGCCAGAAGCAATAGAACAGAAGGGACTCGTTGTTCCTGCACCGCCTGCAGTTCAAATGCATACACACTACTACTAGCCTGATCTCATCATACATGCAACCTCTCGCCAAATCATCAACCGCTTCCGCTACTAAAATCTACCGGCACTTCCACCACTTCCACCAGCCGACGGGATGGCCAGAGAGCTGTCAACGTGGAGTTGCGCCTGGATTGTCTCGCCGCAGATACCTCCCTGGCAAACCTTGCCCAGGTAATAAGACCTTGTCACCCCCAATAAAGCCGTGGGCAGTCTCTCAACCGTTGTTCTGCCTTTCCTGTGTACGAATCCTGGATGTCGCACTTCTCATCCAACTGGCGGTATTTCAGATTGTGAACGTGAAGGATGTGGTATTGCGTCAGATGTCAGATTTAGCCCGGCCGCATCTGTGGGAGAATCCACCACACGAACGAATTAACCTACTCACCCTCGCCTAGGCAGCAACTCTAGTGCTTTGGAGTCCTCGCTGATTATTCCAGTGTATTTGCGCCTGGGTGACAGGCAGCTGTCGACTCTCACGACTGTAGTACAAGGGCCAGCATTTGCATTCGTTGCGGTGAGCGTTGGCAGCTTGCATCTACAAAGGACTCGAACAAAGACAACAGCAACCACAAATATAAATACCGTATTGCGACCACCCATGACCGTCCGCCCGTCCGTCCGTCTGCTCGTCCGCCCGACCGCTCACCCACACGCTCAAACGCACACACGCGAAGGTGGTGGACCACGAGCAGTTCGAAGACGCCCGAACGCTGCTCTCCGCTGCAGCGCAGGTCTACGAACGCTCCGCCGACAAGGCCCGCCTGTCGAAGGTGGGCAAGATATCGTCCCTCGTAAACCTGATCGAGAGCTCGTCCAGGGCTCTGGTTGAGGGCCGCTACGCCGACGCCGAAGGCCTCGTCGCGGAGAGCTTGGTCGTCCGCGCCGCTCTCGCCGTCGAGCAGCCGCTCTGCCTCCGCCCGCCGGACTGCGCGCTGTGCCAGGATGGGGAGAGCGGCGCCAAGACGGCCGTGCTCCTGCGGGTGCGATCCGCTGGCGACGCCGACCGAGCTTCCGCTCTCGACCTTCTCGAACGGAAAGACTTCGAGGCCGCCGAGCGAGCGGCCTTCTCCGCCCGCGAGAGGTTGACGTGGTGGGCTGACAACCACGAAGACGGTGGTGACAGGGGTGGTGGTGGCGACAGCGAAGCAGAAGGAGAGCGTGGCCTCGAGCGCGACCAGCGCCAAGCCGTCGTCCGGGCGGCGGAAGAGCTCACGACGAGCATAGCTGCGGCCGTGGGGCAAGCAAGGGCCGAGGGGCTCATGGAAAAAGGGAGGGAGCTCAAGGCGATGGGGGACTACGTCGCGGCGGTGAAGACTCTACGGTCGGCGGCGGAGCTCTTCCACGACGCGGGCCTCGCGCACGAAGCGTTGGTGACGCGCACCGAGGCCGCCCGAACCCAGGCGGAGGCGCTCCTGCTGACATCTGTCGAGCTGCACGGCGAAGGCAACTTCGAGGCCATCGCGGAGCATCTTGATAGAGCAGAAGCTCTTCTGCTCGACGCTCGCAACGAGGTAGCCGGGAGCACCTTGGTTGCAGCCGCCGGTACGACGTTCACCTCCGCAGCAATGGCACAGCCGTCTTCGGTTCCACTAGGACTTCCTAGCACTAGCGGCGACGTTGACATTGTTCGCGCTGTCACTGTTGGCAGCGGTAAAAAGTGTGGTGGGAGCGATGTTGGAAGCCATGTCCTGCCAGGGACAGAGGACGATCGGGATGGGGCGTGGGCACAATACCACATTCTCGATGACCTTGTCCACTTACGATCTCGCGTGGCCGGGGATATCGTCATGCGTGGCGTAGCACCCGCGCTCGACGCGCGAGAATACGACGAAGGGCTGCGGCTGTTGCAAGAGGCTGAAGCCCACTACACCACCATCAAGGCGGGAAGATGGATGACGTCGGTTGCCGCCGCCGTCGCTGTCGCTGCGGGCAAGGAGAATTCCTTGTCGTCACCATCGTCCACGCCCAAGGAGCTGGTGACGAAACGGGCGGCTCACGATGGCGATCGACTGCGCGCGAAGGCGGCCACGGCGATTCAAAAGGAGAAGAACCCCGTCAAGGCGCGGGAGTTGCTCTCGAGGGCGGAGGCATGCATGGCTTGGGCCGGCGTCGATCCGTTCGCTGCTGGAGCGGCGGCGGTTTCCAAGGACATCAACGTGTTCGAGAGCCGCGCAGGAGGGGATGAGATCTGCAAGGGGTTGATCGGCCTGCTGCGGGAGAGGGAGTTCGAACGCGCGAAGGGCATCCTCGAAGAGGCCCTCAGCAAGTACCGCCAGGTGAACAACAGGTTGGATGGGCACACGAGTTGTTCGAAAACGTTTAAATTGTAGTAACCACCAGAAATGCCACAGAAAATGGGTGCGCGCTCCTTCGATCGTGATCACCGCTAGTTGCTAACCATCTACCATGCGGCTGCTGTTGGTGGGCTCGAAAGCTACACCGTTTCGCTGCCGCGCCGCTGAAAACTGCCATCCGCATCCACACCCAAATTGCAAGCAGGGCGACGCCTTCAAACAGATAGCTGACACGCGGGCAACAATGTTCTGCGTCGAGCGGGAGTCCGAATTGTGTACTGACGTCATCTCTGCCTTAAGCGCCCGCGACCCGGCTGCGGTGAGTTTAGTCCGCCACCGTGCACGACCGCCGTTGCTTGTGGAGGCCACGGCAGAAATGAAGAAGAATATATTGCACAGGGACTGGGAAACTCATAGCCTACAATATTGTTATTTTGTTGCAATTCTCATCCGTGTTATTATTCCGGCAATTTTTGATATCCGAATCCTGGACGCGACGTCGAGACCATGGTATCTCTGGGCTTGACAATCCGAATTATAATTATTGCAGGCGCTCAAGATGCTCGAAGAAGCTCGTCCGGTGTTTCAGATAGCAGCCGAACTGAGGTCGGCAGTGTTGCAGGAGGCCGTCGAGCTCATCGGAATGAAGCACCAGCACATCATAATATTAAGCACGCTCTGCCGAGCGTGGATGAACTGTGTGAACGGGTGAGTTGACGCGCCAGGCAGTCCCACGAATCACTGCATGGAAACCTGGTGTCGATTGCGAAGTCGAGTATTAGTGACGTTCAATGAACCTTAAACCCACACCAACCCACCTACCCATTTCCTTCCCCGTTTCCCTGCGAATCTCAACCGTTCTTCAATTTCTCAGTGTTGTTCCAGCTTCCAACGATGAAGTCAACACCCCTAACCCAGCAGGCGTCTTAGACAGGGCCATGTTTGACCTTCGCACGCTCGTGGCCTCTGGGGTGTCTCTGTTGGACGTTCCCCTCGACCTCGTCCAAGAGTCATGCGACAGCGTTTCCGCAGGCATTGTGAAAACACGGGCAACCCCATCGCCGGAGGCATCAGTCGCGCAGGTGGCGGACCCAGAGTCGTCGACATCGGAGTCCGAGGCGGTGGCTGCTCTGTCTCCTGCTCTCGGTGATGCGAGAGTGGGTGGTGGTGGGGATGACGTATCGGACACTGTTGATGAGACCGGTACCGCACGGGACGCCAGTGCACATAGAGCTCGATGCGTTTCACCAACAGAAGACGCAGCAGGCGGTACCACAGATGGTTCAATCAGTGCGAACACGGACAGGGCGGCGTTGTATGGAGACGCCCCTGTTGTCATCGACGATACGATTGATACGGTTCAGCAAGGGCAAGCTTCAGATTCTCAAGGAATAGGGAGCAGGGAGCCGAAAGAGGGGGCGGGGGGTGAGACGGACTGGTCATCTGGTGAGAAAGACGAAAACGGTGATGACGTTTGTGTAGCGGACAATCACTCAGTGCAACCAACTCCCAGCGCCGAAGTGACCGGGCCTGATATCACCGACAACGTCACAGTGGAGTCGGTCAGCGGCAGCGTTGCGAAATCAATGCCACCACCTCCTTCGCCGCCTTCTGCTGTCGACCGTGACCCCCTTCCGTCTGATGGTGTGCCAGACGACCCTGACAAGGACACCTTTTCGTTATCTACGCTCGGCGGTCTGGGGGATAACGATGCGCTGTCACTCTCTTCGTCGACCACGGACAGAGCTCCTACATCTGCTGACAACAACGAAGACAACTCGAGGGGGGGGGAGGAGGGGTCACAAGACGTCGGGGCGGGATTCGAGGCCAATGGTGGCCGCGGCGATGACGACGACGACGGTGGTAATGGAAGCTCCGAGGGCATTACCGGGGAGCTACCGGCATATTGTACTGGCACAGAGCAAGGGGGAGGCAACGACGCAGACAGCAGGTCGCTAGCCAACAACCTAGCGGACGCAGTCGAAGATTATGCTGCAGACCGAAGAAAAAGCTCCAAATCGATATCGACCAAGGCTTCGGAAGGATCCGCCTCGACTAACTCTGCGGGCCATGACGCTACGAGCGCCGACAGCCTGAGGACTAGCTTCCCTCCTCGCCAGTCGGCCCCTACTTCGGCAAGCGGTTTTGAAAACGACAAGTCGATTGATGATAGACGCCCTTCAGGAAGCCTTCAAGAAGCCGCACAGGTGGAGGGGGCAAGCGCGGTTGATGACGAGAGAGGCTTCGCGATGGTGGGAACTGCCAACCAAGGGGGGAGCTCCAGGGATCATCTCGAAAGCCATGCGGTTGCAGCGGCAAGAGAGACGCTACCTGGCCGGGACGAAGACGACGTGAACTACGAACTTGACAGCGACTTCAGCGGCGGTAGTGATTCGCCGGCGGTGGCCGGCTCGAGAAGTAGCAATCAAGCTTCACCGCCCCCGACAGATCATGTCGTGGAGGCGAGCAACATGGACGAAGGCGGCAGCGATAGCCCGTGCATCGCCAGAGCGACAGATGACGGCATTGACTCTCGTCCCCTTAGCCAAGCCTCATTTGCGAAGGTCGTTGCTGTTGAGCCCGATGTTGTTGATCCTGCCGCAGACTACGAGTCGGATTACCCCGACGACATCGACAAGGTCCACGAGACCGATGACGGCGTCCAAAGCGATAGCAGCGAAAGTAGCAGGCGTAGCTCCACCGAAGAAGAGGACCGCAGCCATAGCAGCGAAAGTAGCAGCGATAGATCCTCAAGTGCCAGCAGCAGCAGAAGCAGCAGCAGTGGCCATCACTTGTCTGACTCCTACTCAGCAGAAGACGCAGACTCCGTCCACGACGGCTCCACCGCATCATCGCTGACTCAAATGGAGGTGAAAGCTACGAGCAGTCCACCACCACAAGGGGAAAAATCGACTAACGAAGGCTTCGATGGAGAAGACGGCGACGATGACTTTAGTCTTGGCAATAGTTCCGGAGATTCGGCAAGCAGCTCGGAGTTGGAGAAACGTACAGGCGCTGCAATTCCAAAGAGTGCAGAGCGTGTTGAACCAGCCGAACATTGTGCGGCCTCTCCAATGGACAACCCCCCTGGCACCACAAACAACGATGACAGCAGCTTGATCGAATCGAATATCATTGACCCGCCAGCCGACAATGGCACTGAGGGAGCTGAAAACGAGAATCAACGCGAATCTGTACATGGTGCAATGTCGGAATATGGCACTGGTGATGCCCTCGCAAACGGGGGTGGCGATGACTCCGTGGGGAAACTCCCCGCCGATTTATTTAAGGATGACAGTCGTGGCGGAGGTGACGGAGGTGGCGGACGTGGTGGCGGTGGCGGCGACGGGGAGCCCAAAGGCACAGGTACGGATGAACCCTCACCAACAGCTTTGCCTTGGGCGACAGGGGCGGTTGCGGCCAACGAGATGCGGTTTGATAATCATCACGTCAACGACGACATTGTTGATCAAGGACAACATCAACAAGATGAAGGGGAGGAACCGAGCGATCTCTACGACATTGACGACCACGGGCTTTCCTCCTCGGACGACGATTGATCTGGCCTGGCGGCCCACCAGTTGGATGAAACACTAGGCATGAGGATTTAGAGAACCCCCCCCAACGGGTATCCACACCTTGAGTAAGCGCGTGTATTTCATGAGTTTCGGTGTTCGCTGAGCCTGCATGTAGACAATCCTGTCACGTGCGGGTATTGTTGTACACATAATCCCAACACCTGTCTGGTATGGACCCTGTGGTGCGTTGTTTGTGTAGCAGGTTTCAATGCCCGATTCCATTCCGGCGGGTGCTTGAATTGACCGAAAACCAAGCAGCATTTCTTACGGGTTGGGAGAGTAAACGATGAAAGTGCTCATCACCGGTGTCGACTACAGTAGCTTGTATTGGATGAATGTTCAACAAGTGGAGGGAGACAATACCCACCCATTCCATCCTATTTATTGCTTCGTATAGTGCACGGCACCTTTGATCGTCTGCCGTGGTGTTGAAAGCATCATAGAAAGTCCTTTTTCAAATGTTGGAGCAAGTTGTAGTTGGCTGGCGTCGGGGAGATACCACGGCCCACCTGACCATTCATTGTGGGCGGTGGAGCACAGGGTGCATGGGCAAGGTTGCATCAAAGGGCATGGCTGAGGAGGAAGCAACCCCCCCCCCCATGATCATCCTTCAAGACGTGATGAAGAACGAGAAGCTCGTGCAGGCGCTTTCCCGCTCCAAGCTGTGATCTTCAGATGCAGAGCAACGAGAACTTCAACACGAGTGTTTGTGACGATCCCTGACCTACTTGCAGCTACTCATTTCCTCACTTTTTACTTCCATGAAAGAGTGGCTGGCCGAGAGGACAGCAACTACTCGATGGATGTCGGCAGTGCGCCTGTCTGAAGCTTCGCAGTTTTCAGCGGGAAAAGTTGACAACTCCAAAGTAAAAACAACGACATCTTCGACCAAAACCTACAGTAGGTTGCTGCAGGAGCACTGTTCCAGACATTTAAGTAAGTGAACAGTAATAAGGACAAAATTTGGGTTCAAAAATGGTACAGAGGGATTATCTAGGCAGCCCGTTCACTAACGCTACGCTCTTTTTCCATTTTGAGCCGACAGTTGTTGTGCGACGTGGCACGGTCATCCTCGGCACCATCAACATCGGGTGAACTGTTCAAAGGTGCCGCCCGTGCGGCAAGTAATTGACAAGTGCCCATGGAAGTGCGTTTGGCTCATGCAGATTGCGGGAAGCCGTGCATGGTAGCCGAAGCAAAAAATGTTTGAACACGCCCACAGAAGCGTCACACGGGAGTTTGAGGTCATGTCCAGTATGTGGTGCTCGCCGCAAGAAGTTTTTGAACTGATGACGCATCATTCAGCACTAAATGTGCAAGTCGCGGGAGCCACTCTTTATTGCGCGAGCCCTCCCGACACCTGTGCTTCTATGCAGTTATCGGTGACGAGGCTTGACGACGGCCGGCCGCTGCTGGTAGGCTGCTTCTCCTTACCAAAGACAAGGAACCCCGTGGCAAGACTAACACACCGGCACGACAACCTTGAAAAGGTTACCAACCGTTGGGTGCACGTTCTTCATCCTTCTCACCACATAAATCAAGTGCAATCCTACTCAATCCTCATGTTTCTATCTCCCGGCCGCTTTTCGTGCATCCAGCAGCAAAAGATGCTCGACGGCTTTTCGCGACTTGCTGGCGACGCCACCGCCGACCTTTGCCGCTCCGCTGTCTACCCCCGCCCCCGCGGCCCGCCCCTCTCCTCGGGAGCTGTACGACAGCAGACTAACGTTTCGCGCCACCAGCGACTTGCCACGTAGCTCCCGCCGCGCTTTGTCGAGGAGGCCCATCGTCCGTCGTCCTGCTTTTTTCCTTGCGCTCTTCTTCGTGACACTCCTTGGCACAGGCCAGGGCAGGAAACATGGACATGGCAGCAAGAGTGTGAGCATGGTTAGGATGACCGCGTGTGGGTGAACAAAGCCACCTACGTGCTGTCCGCAAGAGGGCGGCAGGGTTTGTTGTGGTAAAGTTCAGCTCAATGGCAACGATGAACGATGCCTGTATGTGTTGGCGAAACATTACAGTAACTTCCGGGCGCACCTGCTAGACGAAGTTGTGACGCTGGTGCTGCCGCTGCCTTTTCGCTTTGACGGCGCCTTTAGTAGAGCCCGCTTCGCCGCCTTCTTCTTGCTCGTAGAGAGGTCCGTCTATTGTTTACATCGTATGACGGGGCCAGGTACCAAGAGTGGTCAAACACGGAACACGCGTCGGTCAGGGGGAACGTTAGAATAAACCGGTGTGGTGGACCATACGGAACTGCTTCGTGACTCCAGCTATCCTGCAAGGCACGCACCAGCTCAGATTTACCTTGGCAACACCACCCACCATCGCGGTTCGGCTGCATCGTCAGGTACGAAAGCGCGCTCTAAAAGTGTGCGCACTCCAGCTTTTGAGCCCACGATGCTGAACCAGGACATTTTGATGTTTTCGAGGATATCATTCAAACCAGGGCGGGATTCAATCCACCAGCGGATATTCCTAGATCTCGCGGATGCTGTACATGTACATATGGAAGCTAGATACATCATTCTTTCGACAAGTCTAAGCAGTGGAGCCCCGTGGACACTCTGCCCACTGGTGTACTAGTCTAACTACTACTGTGAGTTTTCAAGTTGCGAGTCAACCCCGTGAAACGAGACTCTGGTCGCCTCCTGTTAGCCAGCTCAATATTAGAGTTACCCTCACCCGCTTGGTGGCTGACGATGCCCTGGAAACCATCTCGTCCACCCTCGACATCATCCGCTTGGCTATCTTGGAAGACATGCTGCAAAGTTGGTGTGAAGCTTGCTGCGTAGACTGCTGTATGCACCCAGAAATATGCGGCAAACTCACGCCACTCTTCAGTCGGAATCGCTTCCCCCTCACAAGAGTAGAGGACACGTATGGGAATTTAGTGCCACAGGGAGACGTCCCAATCCCGCGATTCGGTCTCCTACACAAGCGCCACCGACGCCCCAGTAGTTGCGAGTGCTTTTACTCTCCTCATCTCCAAACATAGCGAAGATCTGGGTTTTCACGACCAGGCGAGGCGTTTGGAGGCTCCACGTGCGAGAGCCTTTCCGGGAGGAGCGGGGGGCACAGAAAAGTTGAGCTTGTGTTGCGCTGCTGTTGCTTGGTCTCCTCGGTGTTCCAGGCAGGAGGAGCACACGCTTAGAGCAGTAGCCATACGCTAGAAGCAGCCGGAGCCGGTAGGAGTCGTGTGTGCCGGGCAGGAGATTCTTGTGCGTTCTCTTGTGGCGAGGCCAGGTGAGCTATTTTCAATGAGAATTGAAACCTGCTGGGAAGGTTGCGTGGGGTGTGTGTGCGCGCCGCACCCAGCTTGAGCCAACAGACAAGCACGTGAGCACCCCAATGGCTGGTCTCGACGGGGGCTCTACCCAGCTTATCGAAGTGCCAACGAATTCTCTGTCGCGTGACATCCAGAATGAGCCGCACTTTGCAGGTGTTGGGATGGTGCATTACATGTAGAAGTGCAACATAAGTGTCGTGCGGTTGGGAGTCCACCCAAAGTTTCCGCCCCAACGCCTTCATGTCGATAACCCCCTGGTGGTTCAATCGGTGTTCATGCCAAACGTATAAGCCTGTTGCATGTTTCCGTGAGCGGTAGTTTGCAATTAAACTTTGACACAGCAAGGCAGGGGATTTGATCGCTTGCTCACAGCAGTAGCAGCAGCAACAGCAGCAGCAGCAAACACGAGCTCAACAGCGCCACGTGCCCATCAACGAGCGCTTCAACCGTGGGAGGCGGGACCATGCAGAAGAGGGGGCTGTACATATTGATCTAGCGGCGGCTCTGCTCTCGCGGGTGCCGCTACACCCCACCATCTACTCGATGAGATTCCATCTGCTCAGCCGTGTCAACAAGTATTAGCCATGTGGACCAGTCGTGCACCCCTCCACTTACGGCACGAACACAGCAGTGCCGTAAACACCGCAAGTAGCGGTTCATGCTGCTGTACAGGAGTACCGTTTGCTCTTGCTCAAGGCAGCGAAAAAGCTTGACATGGTCGGAGCCACGGGCGTGCGTACAGCGTTTTTCACGGGGAGATCGAATTTTCATTTGGGCGTCGTGTGTGCAGCAAGCTAAGGTCCTGAGTTAATTGCTGCCCAAGCGTTTATATAGCTGCCTCAACAACTGTTGCATGCTATAGGTACTCCGAATATTACACAAAGCCTGTACCACAGATTGCTGTTCATCGACATTCAGCCTGCCCCCTCTCTCATTGTCGTTTTCGATCTCATGAACCGTCGTGGATCCCCCTGTGATCATTTTCTGTCGCGTACATCGGCAGGAGCTGTCATCTAGACCGTTGTTATGGCGATGATCTCCACCACGCGGCGAGAGCCCCGCCGAGCGCAGCCCGCCGCCGCCGTTGCGCCCCCGCCTCGGCTGCTGGCTCTCGCGCTGCTGCTGGGAGCGGCTGGGCTTAGGGGTGTAAACGCGAGAGGCGCGGCTACGGCAGCACCGGTGGCGGGGGCGCCGACCATGGAGCTGGTGGACGCGAGTGGGAAGCTTGCGTCGGCTAGCGAGATCACGTCGCTGCTGAGGTAAGTTGGGGGTAGGGGTTGTCCGGGGCACACACATATCAGGTGAAGCCAGTGGATCTTTGATATTGCGGTGGATGGCGTTAGAGTTGGGTCGATCTCGGGCTGAAGTTGGACTAGCTGGCATTCCTCGCTTGCTTCAAATCGGCTTGGGCCTTTGTTTTTGCCTTGGTTGACGTCCTGTGAGAGTGCAAGCAGGATGTTTGCAAGTGCACTATTTTTTTATTCCCGCAACGCTCATGTCTGGGTCTGATTCGACCAAGCTTTCCCCCTTTGACCATGCCGTCGGCGAGAAAGTACTCAATTGCCTGGTACCAGCAGCGCCTACTCGCATGTAATCTCCTCCCCCCCTCCATCCCTCCACCCTTTGACTCAACGCTACGTATGAACTTCACAACACGCATGTCTCCTCCCTTTCTACCCATTCACACCGTCGCTGCTTATCCATGCACGTTCTCTCCGACCTCCCGTTTGTTTTCCGTCCTCAGCGGGTTCGGCGGCAAAGCGATGAACGTCGTGGGCGTCTTGGGGAGCAAAGGCAGCGGAAAGTGAGTACATGCAAATATTCCAAAGAGTGTTCAGCGGGTAGCCCATTTGGTTACATCATGACGTCATGCCGTACTCACATTGTGGGGTTCCATGTAGGGGGCAGTACGTGCGTATGGCAGTAGTGCGTCGCCTCGCTTGGAGTAGGAATTCCTAAAGAGAAAAGAAATGCAACAGTGTTCTCGAGGGCAGCGCAAGGCTTTTCTCCCGCACCATACGCGTGAGGACACTACTGCACATGAACATCTGAAGCAGCACCAGTAGCACCAATTGCACCAGCACCAGCAGTGGCTTTGATGAGCAGCGTTGGGCGGCTTCCCACCCTCCTTCGCCCGCCCGCCTCGCCCCTCCGACGACATGGTTTTCGCTCTTTCGACCAGATCGACGTTGCTTAACCAGGCCTTCGGAACTTCCTTTTCGGTGGGAGGGCCCTTGAGCCAGGGAGCACCGACGGGTGAGTCAATGCGGTTGGAACGAGGGTCGCGCGGAGGAGGAGGGGGCCTATTCATTTGGTGTTTGTCGTTTTTCCTTAGAGCCTCATTGGTCTCTTGTTTCTTGGGGGTAGGGGGCGAAGCACTTTTGGGGCACAGGGGAAAGGAAAAGATGTGCGTGGTATCTTCTGCTGCATGCGAAAAGGCGTTCGCGCGTGTGGACATGCCCGTGTCGACATTCTGTGGAAGTGCGATGGATAATATTCAAAGTGTATGTAGAGGGTGCTCTCGGTCGGAACTCCCTGAAAACATTCGAGCGAAGCATACGCTCATATCTTAAATATACATATCCAACAACCACACCAATGTAACCCTACTTGTGCCACATCTGATGTAAACCTCGGGGAGTTGTGTTGGGGATTCACAACTGGCCGTTGTATATGGGCGCCATTTTTAGATATTTGACACTTCCGTTTGCTTACCTTTTTTTTCTTGTGTGTGTGTGTGTGTGTGTGTGTGTGTGTGTGTGTGTGTGTGATTTTTTGTGAGCAGGCGTGTCCGCGGCAACATGCGATGGAGTGCTCTTGTTGGACTGCGACGGGTTGGAGGAAGGGGCCGATCCGACGGCCATATCCAAGGGGACGACGGCTGGACAGGCCACTGCATTTTCGGTACGGTGTCCCGGAATTGGAGGGGAGANTCCATCTATTTTTCCCAGCTCAGTCACGTACACTTCCCTCTCCTTCTTGTACAACGGACATTCCGCGACTACATGAACACGGTCTTCGCATTCGAAGCCGCAATCACATTTGAACTCGTCGTCTTCCTCGTCTACCGTCCGGGGGGGTGCTCATATGTTTTGCATGCCTTAGCGGTTAGACTATTTGACCACGCGTCCTCGAGAGGACGGAGCATTATTCCCAAAGGACCGATCACCGATGACCAACTTCGCGGGGGGGGGATGGGGGTATCTCTGGAGGGGACGGCGGATGCTGTGTCAATCGTCGTCTCATGCCTGCTTACTCAATGCTTTGCCGCCGAGAACGTATCGCCCTCCTGATGGGTCGTTTCGCCCCTTCGGCCTTGTGTGCGAGATGTGGCTCTCGGGGAGTTGCAGGAGTTTGTGGGGGGCGAGGGAGAGGGCTCAGCCCTGCGCCTGCCTTGTTCTGTTTTTCGTGGACAGAGTTTTGTTGCTGGCGAGTTGCCAAACTTTCGGGCTTTCACAGGGTTGTTGCTTTCCTGACCGTGGCGTGTCCGTCCTCCGCACGAAGGTCAACCCACATTCAGCCGAACCGGGGGCTTGACTTTCGTACGAGTCCTCTCACCTCTCTATTTTTTTTTCTGAGAGTCGCGAGTTCCTGAAGCCTTGCGTTTTCTTGCACCCCCTTTGCCCCGCCTTCTCCCCTCCTCCTCCTGATGCCGCCATTGGTGCTGCTCCTTGCTGTTGATGTCTAAATATTTGTTAGGCTGCCCTGAGCGACGTGGTGCTCATGAACTTGTGGCGGTCCGACCTCGGAAGGAGTGTGGCATCCAACGTCCGCACCATCAAGGTACATAAACCCTGCCTTTCATCTGTTTGGACCGATCACACGTAGGCCATTCGGTAGCAATAATCCGACTGCTCCTTGGCGGAACCTGGTGGGTTCCTGCGGTTCGTGTCTTTTTCAGCCCCCCGAACAAATGCTCCCAGAAAAGGTCTTCTTGAACTCCCGGAACGAAGCAAAAAGATTGTGAATTATATTATGATGGGTCCCCTTGCTCCCTCCCGTGGCAAGCATGCCCGACGAACATGTTGGGAATGGCACATCTCTGCCGATCCATTGAACAATCGAGCCCGAACCATTTGCCTATTCGTTTGTTGTTGTTGTTGTTGTTGTTGTTGTTGTTGTTGTTGACGATGATGATGATGTTGTTTCATATTTCTTTGCAACGCTTGGCGATACGCTTTGTAGACTCTCTTCAGCGAGAAGCTACAGGAGATCGCTGCGGCCGGCTTGACGGGAGACTTGGAGGAGGTAGACTCGTCAGCTGCGGCGGCGTTCAGACCGACCCCTTTGGTGGTGGCCGTGCACGACTGCGACCCCGGCGCGGACACAGATGCTCTCGAGGTGCAGTTACACACCACTGCCCAATCTAGACATCTAGACATCGAGTACACCCACAGACAGACGCCGTCTTGTCACTTTTCTTCCTTCTCTTCGCCATGTTTTTTTCTTTTTTCGCGTTGCCGCTTGTGTGTTGTTAAGAGATATACATGCCTGGTACAATCATAGAAATACGGCATTGGTGTCGTGCACGGGCGGGTGGTGGTTGGTTGTTTGCTGAACGAGCGCGCGGCCAGCCCGACAGCGTGCAGTAGCGTTCCTTGTGGTTGGTCCTTGAGGCCGCTGGTAGGCAGGCACAACTCGAGAGGATGCAAGAAATTCTTCGTGTAGTGTACAC